CCAGTTTCGTGCAAGCTATGATTGTGGACTTATGATTCGCTCCTTCTCTGGAATTAAAGCAATCCTCGAGGGGATTTCTTGCATTCTTTCCAACATGAATATGTCAGTTGTGATCACTAGAGACAACACACAAAGTTTCACGCACGAAAATTCAGTTTCCGAAGAGAAAAACTTACGAAAACCACACTCTATGGACGGTCGAAGGTAGGTCGGGCGGCACAAAGGAGCGCATGGAAAGAAGTGCGCCTTGGGCGGCCACGCGTTGAAAGAATTTAATCAAGCGTTCGATTTTGGAGAATAGAGACAAAACGATCGATAGAATAGGATGCAGTAGAAGTGTGAGATGTTAATGCAATAAGTCAAAAGGTCAAAAAGAGTTTCTAGTGTAGCGTTCCCGCCGCCAGCATTTGTGACAGATGTCCGGCGGGAATTTGAACGCGTAGCAGTCCTTCCGCTTTTCGAATCATTTACCAAAACAGCGTAAAACCAAACCATCTATTTTTCCTCGTTCCTCTCGTGAACGATGGGTCTCAATCCAGTGATTTATGGGTGAAATAGAATCATGATTTTTTCCGGAAAAGGATTCCTCTAAGAAAGCCTTTAGCAAGAGTATGTCTGCTAAAAGCATGGGGTCTACTCCAATTGGGGGGAGGCATCATGATGCAGTTTTTCCAGAAAGCTAGGGTAACTCCGAGCCAGGGGGAGTGTAGCCAGTCTAGGGGGTGGGGGGTGAGGGCAGTCACTTGACATGCGTGAAAAGCTGGAATGTTCGAGTTCACACTAGTTCGCCGAGAAACTGCATCATGATGCCCCCCCCCTAACTGGAATAGACCCAAAGTATGTCTGACAGCTGCCGGGAGTGAAGTGTCCTATCCAACTGCCCATCGATTCTTATCGAAATTTTTATGGAAACAGTGTTTATAGCGTTTCAAGAGAATGTATCTCAGCCTGTTGACCGCACTGAGTGAGCTTGAAGACGATTCATGCAGTATTTGCTGAAACTTGTCCCTTGGACGAGCGCCGCAATGTCATCCGTTCGCCAACTCTGTCACTGAGAATTCGATTTTCGATGTATGAAAGAAGGTTCGAACGTCCTATCTGGCCTAGTACTGTCATTCAGTCATTCTTCTAGTACGACAAGTCCCCTGGTCCTACTCGATGAACACCCGAATGCAAAACGTCAGCAAAACTCGCCATAGACAAGATTCCCCGTTGTCCGATTGCCAATCGCCCCGCCCCTTTCGCAAAGGCTGCACAAAGTTTCGCAGGGCGAACACGCGGTCAATCAATTCAATGGTTGGCCGTTCACGTACATGGGCGCTTCTTCTTCGTCGTCGTAGTGATTATTGTAAGTCCTTGATTTATTTCGCCGCAAGTTCGTTTCGAATTCGATTGCTCACTATCGGCTGTGGTCTCGTGCCATGCTGTAACACATGTAAAGCGCAGTTCGCGGGGGAATAATCTATGTGAATATCCACTTTATTTATTTCATTTAACACATTGACGACATTGAGACGCGGTAACGCGTCTCACTTTGCGCACCTCGTTGGACATTGAGACGCGTTACCGCGTCTCACCCTTATCATCCCTTTTTCTAGGGCATGCGCAGCTTTTTCCCGAATTGTTTGTCTCTCTTCTATGGATTACACATAATTACGATCACTGTAAACGTCTTTGGTCACATGTATGATCGCATTCCTATGCTCTAGTTTACGCATAACTTTTTAAGCACCAGGGAACTTAGCAGCCATAGTCATTCTAATCGTTCCCTTATCTATTCTCACTGAACCCCATGTCCTAGAGCACTATGAGGTGAACAGTGAAGTAAATCACAAACCTAAATCGGATAGTAAAAATATACGTTTTCGATTGGCACACTCCCATCGGAACTCGTTTTGGCACCACTACAGAAAAGAGCTCAGCGTTCCTTTCATTATCCACTTTACACATTCTTTTGCAACCTGCGAGTTTTTGCATTTCGGTAATTTCATCGTAGTATCTTCTACGGGCTTTATTTCTTCACGCATTGATATTGCTGAAATGGTTTTGTACCACTGGTGCTTCCAAAAGTTATCATTCAATAATTTACGATTGCTAGGTGCGGCGGCCGCACTCGCAAAATCGTCCCTGTCCCACGTGGCCAAAAAAGCCAAAACGCGCGCTGTCGTCAATGTGTTAAGATCTTATAAGCTGGGCCTGTTAGTTTTTGTGTTAAGGAAATTGCGAACTTGGTTGTTCAAAACCAAAGGGAAATCGATTTATGTCAGAGGCATCATTGAATTCTGTCCAGTGTTTATCGCTTTGCATGGGGCGATTGAATTTCCTGTTTACTCTCGTGTTGAACACGGCGTTGACATTTACGTTACCCACATTTGCATTTGCAGTATCACAGTTTTGAACTGAGAGATGTCCAGCTCGATTACGGGTGTTAAAACTCGAGCAGTCTTTGCAGTCACACATTGATTTCGTAGTATCTATGATTGAAGCTCTCGTTCAACATTGCTCGACATATATGGGTACAAGCGGGAGACTAGCTTAATTTAAGGGGCAGATGATATCATTTTCGGTAAGGTGGAAGCACTGCATAGCGCATCAATGTGAGAAATTGTTCCGAATGAACTTGTGGTTGTTTTAATGGCAGTCTGGAAACTCCGCTTCGCACTGTTCTAACTCTTCCTAATTCGTTTCTTTTTAATAGAAGTTTCGCTTGACGCCGTTCGGCAATGAGTCGATGGTCAGTTGGCTCTGCACCTGGGAGGTAGGTCTGCAATTATTCGTAGTGGAGTAGCGTTAGAGGCAAACTCTGGATGTTTTTCACATATCTCCATGATTTTTCTAGTTATTGGTCTCCGACTATGATAGTCTTTTCATTCTTGAATCATTTCTTCACAATTGGGTACTCCATTTTTATAACAGTTCTGAAACCTTCTCTTTAACCCACCATAAGCTAGTACAGTAGAGACTGTAGAAATAGGAGAGACTACGTTTTGTGCATGTTTACGCACTATTCGGAGTTATAGCGTGAAACCGGTGTACGGTGCTCGTTATCCTCCACTACAACACGACGTACCCTGTGGGAGTCCTAGCAAGGATCTCGCCAAGCAATCAAAATTTCAAGATTACGAGAACAGGTTCGTCTACGCAACTGGAAAAGTGCTTATTTTGAAACTTTAAATTGCCCAAATTTGGAGCAACCAGACTTGGTCATCCTAAAATTTGTATATGTTGCAGTGTGTCGGATGCATGGGATACTCGTGTCCTCGTCGATGATGCCCTTGCGTCAGCATCTGCTGCTCGCGTACTTGCAGCTCATGCAGCTGGAAAAACCAGAGAAGAGGTGAGCAGTTTGTACACTACCTATTTGTTTTTCTACGTGTATAGCCATTCTTGTCATTTTCTACTTACACAGCCACTGAGACTTATAATCCTAATCAAGGGCTTCGCTGCTTTTCCCCTAGGTAAAGGTACAAAAGATTCAGATTCGTTTGTTTTTCAACGACGCCATTTCTTACTGTTTACGGACTACTTGATTTTTCCTCAATGGTCCTGCCGCGATGGCTAGAGCACAGACGATTAGAGGACCTAGGACTAAGCATTGGATAGGATGGAGGGACCCGCGAGAGAGCGCAGAGGAGGTTTAAAGGGCTGAGTTCAAGTAGTCCGTCGACCACTTCTTACTACCAGCACATGCTCATTCTACACACATGCATACCGTAAATGATAGGCCCCTTAAAATCGCAGTCTTTTGGGAAGACAAAGAAAATTGAAGGGATTTCTGCTTCCTGGACTGAGGAAGGATAGCATGCGACTTCTCATCGTACTGGCAGAAATAAATGAATGAGACTGTTGGACAGATGTAAACAATGCTTGATTTGTCACCTAGTCTAGCTCCATTTAGGCCTAATGAAACTCATGCAAGTGATCTTTTTTTCATGAGGGAGTTCGGCTGCGCCAATGCAGTGTGAATAGGGAGTTTAAATCCTCGCTCTGTTGCTTTTCTATTATTTCGTTGAATATATTCAAAAACTATCTCAATTATGAAGCGATCGTGATTAGAAATCTAGTCACTACATGAGCAAAGTTGCCAGAACATGGGTCATTCTTCGACAAATTTTGGCAGGCGTTGACAGGGAATAATAGCCTCGAAACACTTCTGCCTTGGTCCTTGCTAAAGAAAGTAACGTACGAACGATGGAAGCTCACATTTCTTGTTATGAATATCTCATACGGACATGTCATGCGACGTAGTTCTGGTCTTACTCTCAGTTTTTGAGACGTTCTGTACCAACATACCTCAGTAAAAATTTCTTAATAGTGAGCCACACTACGTATAATCATGCGAACTTGCAAGACTCCTTTACAAGTATTCATGTTATTCAGTTAGTGTTTTTGTGATTGTTTTTTTTGTTTGGTGTAGCACGATAGTTTTTTTTGTTCAGGTGATAATGCCTCCTGTCAACCCGGCTCCAACAAAAAATGGACGCGTTCAAGCATTACAGCGACTTGCGATTCAGAAAGGTTCGTATGGATATTGCTTCATTTCTGTCCAAATCTTTTCAGAAACGTTAGGCTAGTTCAGCACTCTTAGTAATCTTCACGTGAACTAAACTCAGCATTGTTTCGAAAAGTTTCCAATTCTTTAGATCCCTTGCCTTCTACAATTACCAGTGCGCCTGTACAAAATCCAAATCCTATCTATCCAAAACTACCGGAGATATCTGGTGATCAAGTCCGTATAACGGTCGCTGCGGTGAATGGATCACAACCAGGTAACATTTTTTTAAGAATGAGCAGCGAACTTGCGCGTCAGAAATACCGCTGTAGCTCTGTACGTTTGGTTTTTTAATAACACTCGCGTTGTTAAGGCGGTGAGCGCGATCAGACCAGATTTGAACGCCTTCGTCGTCTGTTTTCGGCAGGAAAGTCGAACGGGAGAAACTCTCCTCCAGCTGATATTGATATGGAAAAGTTAAGAAAGGATTGCTGGATGGGAATTCCTCACAAACTGCGTCCCCAT